ATATGAAAGAGTTGATCAGCGAAACTCATATGGGAAAACATAAGAAATTGCCAGCCACATGCATTTTTGATATATAAGAACTGTATTTGAATTTTTAGTTGTACTCTGGCTATCCTGAGGATATTTTTGGCATTTCTCAGTTCATTCAAGATGCTGGAATTGTTCTTCAAAATGCGTCATCATCATTTCGCTTTATATGCCTCACATTCTTTATTGACAATGATCTACGCTTCTCGTTGGATGTTATATAGTCCGCGTAGTTCAAAACATGACATTTTAACCTACCAATAAATCAGCCAGTTAATGTAATTTCTTTGTTTACAGGAAACCTCATGAATATGACCTTCTCAATAATGTCCACATGAATTCGGCCTACTTCACAGAACATCCATGTAAACAGACAGAATTTAACAAACTCTATCAATACAGCAAACCACAGAAACAAGGTACTTACGCTTAATTGATTTATTAGTAAAAAGTCGAGGGCAGTTCTTTTCGATCATCCCATGTGGTTTCTGTCATAGGACGAGCTCACCTTGGATCCTAACACACCTGATAGGACAGATTGATAGATCTGTTCATTGTAAGTAACGGAGATAAACTGTGTGTGGGTTTTTTCGGTTGCAGATAATAAAGGTTATGTACACTGTATTGAACTTGAGAATCTTGCTGTGACTGTCATGAACCAGAAACGAAAAATTAATTGTGTTTGAGCTCTTTTTGGAAGTGGGAAAGATGATGATGTCCATCTTGGATTCGGTGCCACGTAGACTTGTTGATAGATGCCATTGTTTCGGAGTAACATACTGTCCCCATCTTCAGGGCTGAGGATGGACACAGTATGTTTCTCTGAAATGTTGGCTAGTAATGATGGTGCAAAGCCGGCGTAGCTCAGTCAGTATAGTGACTGGCTACGGACTGGGCGACCGGGGTTCGATCCCCGACGGGGGCAGAGGTTTTTCCTCTAGCTTCTGCGTCCAGACCCAGCCTCCTCTACAATGGGTACCGGGGTCCTTTCCCGGGGGTAAAGCCGGCCGGGGCTGACCACTCACCCCCCATCTAGTGCCGAGGTCAAGAATGAGTAGGAGCTATACCTCTCTCCCCCCAAGCGCCTACATGGCGTATAGTGGGACAGCTTTACTTTACTTTTTACTGATGGTGCAAAAACACTTACGCTGAACAACAATTGTGACATTTTTCATTTTGTTTGATACTGCTTGTTTGTGCTTGCTGATACACAGAAATGAATGTTCTCTGCAGAGTACATTGATAAAAAATTTGCACGAAAGTAAAGAAATAGGGACACGTGGTCTACGTAATATTGTTTACGGTTGCACTTATCGGTTAACTACAGTTACAATTTATGCTTAACATATCTGGATTGGATGTTAACACTTATGCATACCAAATAAGAACACCTTCTGAACCTTTGAATCACTCAGAGGCATACGCAGACAGTTTGAAAACTACTTTTGGACTCATGGATGCCTAAAGTATGCCTCTGTATTAAAATCTTTTTTTTCAAAATCACAATATGTAATGTCAGAAACAAAAATTATTTCAAGATTTCCGGTATTATGCTGGTTACTCTGTAATCTGTCATCAATTACTTGAAACAATAAGTTGATAAAATGACGTTAACAATTCTTATGTAAATGTTGTACTTGTGTCTGAGAATTAAAGGCAAGAAAATTGTGACAAACTTTTTCCTTATGCCCACGGTGTACGTACGTCGTTTTCGATATTTGTTAACAATATTCACTGAGGTTTTCTCTGCCTTCTTTAAATAACTGAAGGTTCATTATTGGATGTCATATCTGATAATTAAAATATATGCACACATTTTAGAATTCAGTGTTTGGGTTTTCTAAAGTTAAAGTGGTGGAAATAAAATGTCTCAGAAAATCAATAGGGAAAACGCGCAGGGATAGAATAAGGAACACCAACATTAGAGAAGAGGTAGGAATTAAATCACTTAAAACGAAATTGGAAGAAAAACAACTGAAATGGTTTGGACATGTTCGAATGGCAGATGAAAGAAAGACGAAACAGTTTTTGTAAGCTAGAGTTGAGGGTACCAGAACAGGAGGAAGATCTAGAAAGAGCTACTTGCATACTATTAGAGAAATAGGACAGGCAAAGGGGAAAAGTTTAACACAGATGAAATTCTTAGCAAGGGATAGGAAGGAATGGAGGAGGAGGACCGAGCAATCAACCCCGACGCTATAAAGGCAAAAAGGGAGATGAGAAATATGATCTTAAATTTCTGGTAAAATTAGGTTATCTTAAATGGTGCCAGTCAGTATGGTGACTAGGCTACAGGCTCGCTATTAGGGGTTCAATTCCTGGCAGAGGCAAGAGATTTTTCTCTTAGCTAATGCTTCCAGACTAGCTGTAGGACTCACCCAGTCTCCTACCCAGTGGAGTGATTTACCTGGGGATAAAGCAGCCAATACAAGAAGCTGACCACTCACATACAGTGGAGCTATAACTCCACTCTGCGCATGCCTTCATAATCTGGAGCTTAATTAAGCACCAGTGACAACTTTGGATTTTTATATTTTATATAAATCTGAAATATTTGTATTATTTATGATAATAATTTATTTCTGACAGTAAACCTGAAATACATGTGACATCTTTCTGAGAACTGAAAATCACTCCAGCACACGTCACAGCTTTTATGAGAGTTCGGTAATTTGTCTATCTGAACGTGAAATGAACCTCCAACTTTTATTATGTTTTTCAGTGCATTCACCTTTCAATGCAATACACTTCTTCCACTTCAGTTGTAAAGACTATTTTGTCAGAATAGAAGTCAGCTTCTTGTGGCTCAAATGAAGCAGAAAAGGCATGGCAGATGGAGGAATTTTTGTGTAGTAGAACTATATGTGGAAAAATTTACTTGGTGTGTTTGATGGCGCTGTGCATGGCCATCATACTGACTGCTTGGGATATACCAGTGGTTGTAAATTTGTGTGGCTGGCTGAAATCCATCAGCAGCGGATCCTCACAGTCCTTCATGGTTTCCCATTTGGTTTTCAGGCACCGTTAGTGAACAGATTTTTTCACCCATCACTGACCTCTTACACAAAAATGCCCACGTCCTGTTTAGAATGTTCCAAATTGTGATTGTAACTTTCATCTTGATTTCCCTTATGATCTGGAGTTAGCATCCTGGGCACCCAACAAGAACTTATTATAAATATGAGTAATTTTTTGTGAATAATGTGAAAAACTGTACCTACAGAAACCCCCCGTTTGTGAGCTGAACTGAAGACTTTGATGCAACTGTCTTCCATTACCATGGCCTCCTCTTTGTCACAAATTTCTTGGCCAGAATCTTCAGCAGAGTACCTAGACCCGGGATCATCTTCGATTGACCCCCTTCTCCATTTGAACTGCTTGCTTCAGAGTTTTATTTTGTAGTAAGTATGCAAAGATGCTGGACATTTGATCGCAAATCTTTTTAGAAGTGTAACCAATTTTCATTTTTAAGTTTTGCAAAATTCATGGCTGTGAATAACATGTTATCGCTCTAAACTTATTTGAACTACTGACGTGGAAGCGTGTGCACGTATTGAGGAGACATGTCACTATATGTTACGGTATATACATCCAGTTGTTAATTTTTACATAAGATTAATTAATGCTTACTTTTGCAACACAGGTAATGTATCAGGATGCCGTTTCAGATGTACATATTAATTTTGTCTTGTTAACGTATTATTGGTAATGATACTCTGTGAATAATGAATGCAGAGTAATCGAAAGCTATATTAGATTCAAACATAGGAAACAGATCCCAAAAATTTTTATTTAATTTTTTTTGTATTATTGCATAATAATTATTGAAATATAAGTATTTAAAGTACAAATTTTTAAATGCTGGCAAAGTGTCAAGATAAATACTTGAATCACAATAGTAGGTTTGATTGGCATTAATTGGGGAGAGGTAAGCTACCATCACCCCATTTTTCTAGAGAACTGTCTTCCCATCAGGCCCAGTACTTTCATATTTTCACATTATGTAAAAATTTTCTTTTATTCTTTCTTTCTTCTTTTATTCCACTTATCACACCATTATGGATACCATATTTCAGCACAGCGGTGTAATGCACGGAGTTTTCGTCCGTGGCATCCCAACAATTACTCCATTCACACACAGAAGAAGGCAATTGCAAACCACTTCTGGATCATCTGCCAAGAACGTATATGAACAGGTCCCAGTCCGAGAAAAGGATGGAAGGATCCTGTTCATATGGACCTGTCGTCAGACAGAACACTACAAATAAAAAAAATAAATTAGGGAATCAGTTAAAGATGCAGAGTTTGAGGATGTGGACTGGGTTCATTTGGCTGAGAATAGGATCTGTTGGCTGGCACATGTGAATATGGTAACAAATCCTCGAGTTGTGTAAAATGTGGTACATTTCTTGACTGGCTTCTCAAGGAAATGCTGTGTGGCATTAATTTATTAATTTACTTAGTCAATTGGTTAGTTTTAGTGCAGGGTATTATGAGCACAAAAAACCAACAATTATTTTTTACTGTATAGGTTTAACAAACCATTCTTCTGTATTTATCAGCTTAAAATGTTTCCCTAGAAGGAATGATGATGCTAATATTGTTATTGGTTGTCTCTGTACTATTCTACTATCTTACTGAGAGTCCACTAATTCCTATAAGTCTGTGATATAGATCTCAAGTGGACAGAGAGATCAGTATAAAACAGCACATTGAAAGTAGGTGTTTTTAAATTGAGATTAAATTATTTATTATGTCTACTCAATCAATCAATATCTGAGATATACTCACTTTTGGGACAAGCAATCAGATTCAGTATTTTTGTTAGCAGTGGAACACTAATTCTGTATTTTTCTTAATTGTGTTGTTCATAAGTGGGATTACATAAGTCATCCTTCTTTCTCGATGATGTTCAAACTGAGCTGTAGTGAGGTTGTTTTTTTTTTTGTATGTGAAGAGCACGTTTGTTATATGTTTTAATTTACTCTTTAGTTTGACATCAAATAACGTGAAAATTTGATACAGTGAACTGAATAACCAACCAACAATGCAATTGACAGCTTGACGTCTTAAGTTTGTTGAATGTAAGAAACTTGTTTTTGTCTTAAACTTCATGCTTTATGCAACCTACACTGAACGAATTAAATATAAAAATGTATATGTGTGTTTGTTAAATTTACAAGCTGGTTTATTTCCCCTGTTCACAGCTCTGAGAAAACGCATCGTCAAACCAGGACGGTGTCAGCCAGGAAAGACAATAGTATCTCTTTTTCCTGTTTTTCTTTGGTTGCCAAAATATGACTGGAAGGGAAACATTGTCAGTGATATAGTGTCAGGTTTTACAGTGGCCATCATGCATATACCACAAGGTAAGAGTGCTTCTTAAAATTTCAATTTTGTATCATAGAAACTGAAACAAGAAGTTCTGTGAAAAAATTACATGCCAAGTTACTTCAAACACTGTATACAGAGTGTTATCAAAATGTGCCTCGATTAAATGTTTTCTTTATGAATGCACTTAGTCAGACACATTAAACTCTTGCTAGAATCTGAGATTTATGAGCTCTCATGGGCTATGGAAAATGGGCCCATTAATGCATTAGTGGCCCAGTTCTAGAGAGATGTAGTCTCACCCCATTGTCAAAGTAATAACAATAAAGCCCAGACATCCAGTAATACTAATATTCTGAAGTAATGTAATTGAATTAAGATTTTATAAAAATTTTGCATTTATTTCTTATGTGCATAATACCAGTGTAGTACAAGGGCAAAATGTTACCGATGAACAGGGTGTGTATACTCCTTTGTTTCTTTTGAAGGCTTTTATTGGAGTCGAATAGAACACATCAGTGTCTGGTATATGCTGATAATGTTAATTTGTTATACAAAAACAGATGCTCTAAAGAATGGAAATTCTGCTAGATTCTAGGAAGGAGATTTGTCTAGAAATAAAACACAGAACAAACTAGATTTAACTGAATCAGGATTGTATTCAGTGTCAGGCTTTGTTAAATATTTGGGTTTTTTTATTTGAGTTATTTAACTTTTTGTAGGAAATTTAAATCAGCAGTCAAATTTTACACTTGAAATGTAATTTTACATTATATGAGTGTTATTCATAATTTATAATTTGTACTTTAGACATACATGTTAGTGTATGTATGTCTTTCTTCTTTATAGGAATGGCATATGCACTGCTTGGAGGGGTGCCTCCAATTATTGGTATGTACATGGCATTCTTTCCTGTCCTCCTGTATGTACTCATGGGAACATCACGCCATGTCTCAATGGGTTAGTATTGCTGTGTAATGTTTGTTGTATTCAGTTATTAACCATAAGAATTCAGAATTATACTTGAAGTAGTCTTATATGATTCTTTCATGAACTGACATGACCTATATTTTGAAATGTAGGAAACAAGTGACAGTAGAATATAAACCAAAATGTAGACTGTCAGAAAATGCAATAATATTTGACAGCGTTGAACATGTCTTGACTTTTGGTTTCATGAATGTCTGTAACGTAACTGATTATCAAGATATTAATTTTATTGCTGCAATGGGTGTCATAATATAGATGTACAACTGAGTTTGTAAAGAGGCTGTACCTATGTGTAGTGCCAAAATTGTGTATCTCCATTCATTCATGACCTGGAAGTAAAAAAAATTAATCTAAATATTAATTTTCAGAAATTTGATGCATAGCAATTTGGAACCAGGAGTGTCTCTTTAAGGATGAAACATATTTTATTTATATTATATTTTAAGGAATAATGCTAGAACATAGGTGAAGGGAGGTGGTAGATGAGGAAACCATGGGCACTCAATGTCTAAAGATTTTCAATAAAAAAATACCTTCTATAAGTAAAGAATAGAACTTCTGTGATTACATTTGTGGTTTCATATGAGAAACCAGTGGATGGACTATGTATTTATATTGCTGGACTGTCACCTAAAGACAGCAAAAAATAGTAATCGTTGACTGTTGGAGAATTTGTTCCTTTATTGTACAAAGAACTGGACATTACATTTCTTTGGAGTAAAGAGCCATATATGTACTTTAATGGAATGGTATTATAATTGTATATGTACATAGTTATAAAATCAGGAGTCCCATTGGTGCAAGGGTAAGGCATTGACATCACATCTAAAAGATTTCAGGTTTGAGACTCGTTACATTTTTCAGTTTTCCAATTTCAGTCTTGGACAAAGTCAGGCTTTCAAGAATGTGAGAAATATCAGTCTCCTGCACTGGTTGTTGATTCGCATTAAACTGTAGGCCAACTGTTGTTATTTGTTTGTCTTATTAATGAGTGCAAAGACCCAATGGATTTATTCACCTAACGGAGGCAAACGAGGTCAACGAAACTGTATGAAGGTCAGTAAAGAAATATGAGATATGGAGTTAAGTCAGCACAGTTGATTATTTAGAATATATAATTTGAAAGTGTATTTTCTTGCCATTAGGCTGGTACCAGCTAACAGTTTATTGATTCCGTGTTGTAGTCAGTGCAAGCTCACTGTTGCACTATACTACGCAGTGTACTTGAACATCTTCAAGAATGGTTGAAATGAGACCTAGCTTCTCAGACTTTATGCTCTTCAGGGCATTGCTCCATCATGTTCTGCTGTTTTCTGGTAGTATCAGAAATTAAGTGGGAGAATGTTTCTGATGAATGAACACAGGAGTGACTGAGAAAGCATTGCTCTTGTGAAAACCATGGCTACAATGTCTTTTAATTAACATAAGGAGATGTTACAGTAACATTAGACAATAATTAACTAGGTTTTACCTGCCATCATATACAAACAGCTCCGCGTGTTGATGGGTGCCTCACAACTGACAGAAGTTTGGAAACAGAAACTATTGGAATGATGCTGTGGGATGCTTTGAAAATGGTGGTTCTTATCCATTTTCCTTCATTTTCATGGGCAATGAGATTCAGGCATACCTGTTCGAACCTCAAATAAAATGATACACATCAATGTATCTTCAGCAGTGACTCTAACACCATGAAAATTGAAGGGTCAAAAACTGTCAGAAAGGAGATGGGAACTTTTCTTTCCCTTATTGATAAGTGTTATGTTCAAGATTTCTGTCTTCTGGGTTGTTGTGCTGTGTAGTCTACAGACTACACAGCGCAACAACCCAAAAGACGGAAATCTTCATACTCACCGCTGTGAAAACCTCAAATCTTACAAGTGTTATGTTGTTTCCATTACACTTTAAACTCAGTATGCTCTAACTTAACAGTAGTACATGACTTACGAGAGTCAAGAAAGGTGACCCAGAACATTCCAATGCAACTATCATACAGTTCAGACCTAGCATTATATGACTTGTTCTTGTTTCCAACAATGAAGGATTCCCTTCAATATCATCAGTTTCTAAGCTCTGAAAAGACCAGAGATGCATACAAACTGATCTTGCAGCAGTTACATAAACTGAGTGGCACCTTTGGTTCTAGAGTTGCTTTGTAAGAAAAGAACACTGCTTATGATATGAATACTGAAAAATTATATAATTGTTGAAACAAAGATATTATTGTTATATAACCCATTTTTGATATTTTTTTATTTTCCTGTGTAATGAAGCATTTACTGTAACACAAAAACTTTAATCCTTTGTCATAATATTTAAATCTGCAGTTTCTTCTAGTAGCACTTAAATGATCTAAATGCATTTTAAATGCTAAAGCCATACTACATTAATTATGTCAATGGACTGTTTAGCTGTATTACTGCATTTAATGTGTTCATAATGTTTACTGAATACTGTGTTTAACCACTGGTTTCTTCTTCTCGCCTAATTTTGTTACTCTAATTGTAACTTATATTGGTGTAGGTACATTTGCAGTAGTGTGCATGATGGCCAGCAAATCTGTGCTCACGTACTCAGTCAATGAGCCTCCTGCTCCGGCAGTACAGTTCATGAACTTCACTGAGCTGAACAATACAGATCCAGCGGTAGTGCCTGCCAATATTAACTCAACAGGCTATACTCCAGTTCAAGTTGCAACAGCAGTGTGTTTTGTTGTTGGTGTGTGGCAGGTTAGTAGTTAATTCCAAAGGAGTAATTTATCCAAAGTATTCAAAAGAACAGTAATATAATAAATGCAGTATTTATTGTATGTATTGGTTCATTATGTAATCACAAATGAATACATTGGAACCCAAAGTAAATTTTTCAGGTTATGTATGTTGCTTCACCATTTTTGTCCAAAAGGGTAGAATTTTCAGTCATACTGAAATGTTGGTATTTTGGAGAGACTTCACCTAAATTTATTATGATCAGTACTTGAGTTTTGTGAGATGCATCTACCATTTGTGATATAAACTGAAGGGCAAGTGCTGCACTCTGCACCAAAATGGAAATATATATTGACAGACATACACCAAAGGGAAAGTTACATTGGAATTTTCTGACCACATATCTCATTGTCTCATACGAGAATGAATGAAAATGGTATCTGCATACTTGTGTCACTATTGCTAGAATAAACATGAACCTGACCAATTGAACATTAGTCTGCAGACATTGTTGCACTATGTAGTGTTACATAATTTTACTGACATTTCAGAAGGCTTGCTGCCTCTGTCATCAGGGTGATGAGTTAGCAGTGAGTACCTCTGAAACATCAGTAAACTTCTACCAGACTATGTGGCACAATAACTCAGCAAACAGTCATTTTCATACTTGCTGCTGTAAGAATCTGAAATCTCACACAGCTAAATTCTGACTTCACACATCTATAATTAAGTTGTACCATATACATTATACAAGGTATTCTATATACCTAAAGTATGACCCTTTGAAATGTGACCTTCCATATGGCATGTGTAGGTTATACTCGGGGTGTGCAGACTAGGTGTGCTGAGTGTGCTTCTATCTGACACACTGGTCTCTGGCTTCACAACGGGAGCAGCAGTGCATGTACTTACGTCACAAGTGAAGAACTTGTTGGGTGTAAAGGTGCCACAACACAGGGGCCCTCTCAAGGTTATATATGTGAGTACTGATTCCAAAATGTAGTTTAATTTAATTTTGTATGCAACAAATCTTATTTTTGTCAAGAATCTTATCATTTTTGTTTGTAATTGTATCATATCAAATATAATTTTATTGCCAATTTTTTATGGCTGTGAAACCTAATTTCTAACTTCGTGGAAGAACATAAATGTTAGTTCTGGAAAAAGTAAAGAAAGGAAAATTCCCTTCCGATTATTGCATAGTCTGTCAGGGTTGACATATTAATCTTGGTGATTCAGTTGTTAGATTCTTCATATGCATGTAAATAAATATATATTTTTATCTTGTTGTGAATTATAATCATTAGAATTCTTGAATAGAGAGGTTAATAGAATTAATCTTTAATATAAAATATGTGCTGGTGGTTTATGTGTGATCCACTTTTTAAAATGAACTTAATTAACTCTACAGATCAGAGTCCTTGAGAAGCACCAGTACTCTTGCCTAGTTAAGAAATTCGTTGAATTTTATTGAACCGAAAGGTTTATTACCATGTTTATAAGAGCCTGCCACCATTCCCTATCCTGAACCTGATGATTCCAGTTCACGTCCAACTCTATATCCATAAGATACATTTTAATATCATTATCCCATCTGTGTCTATGTCAGGTGTGTGTTTATTTTGGTGAAATATACCTGACAGTTTAGTCTCCCTACATCCATTACCTACCATAACTGGATTTTAGTCCAGATGTTACACATTATTCTCCTTGTAGGTTTTATCTTGTGGTTGACCATTTAATGTGCAGTGCATACAAGGCTTTTTCATATTTGTTGCATGTTTCAAGAGAACTGAGAACTTGTGGATTTTTGGTTACGTGATTTGAAAGGTGTGTACAGGATGTATTGCCTATTTTAAAATGCTTATAAATCATATTATTTTATATCTAATTGAATTAAGACTGTCAGTAATAGAGAACTGAATGTCGTTTTATGTCACCGACTTCTAATCTCCATATATACTTCCACATTTCAACACACATTATGAATAAAATTAAAAAAACATTTCTAAAATCACTTCAGTTCAAGAATTGTGTTGAAAATGCAGGAGGATGTTTGGAGATTTGAAGTCAGTTGCATAAAGCTTAATGGAAAATCTATCATTGGCAATTTGTTTCAACCATTTGCATTAAAAATGAAATGATGTACAAGTGTTTTAAAACAGGCTTTCACTTAAGAAAACAGTGTGTTTATATTCAGATTATATGTATATTTGTTTCTTTTGTATGCACAGTTGATGATACAAACACACAGACTGCAAAAGAGACACACATGCTTTGTTTGACCCCATAAATTAAATAAGACTAAAGCCAGATAATGCAAAAGGGTCAAAAGAAGAGTTATTGTTAATGTTCCATCTCTGACCTAATACTAATGATGATGTTTACAAACTGAATACTGATAAATGGAAGAATCATGGGTTGTCAAGGTCATTGTTACACAGCTGTCACTAACTTTATTATAGTATGAAGTATTTCTGTTTTTGTTTTAGACATACATTGACATATTCAAGAATATTGGCCAATCAAATCCAGTGGCAATTGGCATCTCAGCAGTATCCATAGGTGTTCTGAGCTTATACAATGAAGTAATCAAAGTGAGTGAAGTAGTAGTCCATAATATAATATACAGGACTTCCAAATGTGTTATTTATCGATTTCCTTTTCTTCTGTTTTATTACAAGTAATCATATAATTCTGTATGTTTTTGTGTACAACTAGTCTATGATGGTCAATAGCTTTTAAAATGGGACAAATGTACAAGTTTTAGTGAAAAATGTCACAACTTCTTTCTCATGTTTTCATTCCCAATATTTGCAGAATTTTACAGTGTCACCCAGTCTAGAATAGTCTTTTGGTTTAGGGTTGTTGCTTATATTAGTGTTACACATGCAAAGTCAGATTTTCTGTTTATAATTTTTTACTTCAGGGTGCAGTGCAGTTAAAGTTCATTTATAAGAAGCTATTGGAAGCAGTTTATAGTTTATCTGCTTGGGTGAAAGAGTCACAGTTTAGTCAGTGCTAATGTATTCCTTTTTCAGTTATAAGAGTTCTGCATGCCAAATGTCATAGTTTGTCCTTAGTTATCCTGTATAGTCTCACAACACATGATCAGTCCATTATGCTCATAAGACTGTAAACTACAAACAGATGTGAAGGTCTGGTTTATGTTTGTTAATGTATTTTTAAAATACATCTTGCATGATTTTGTATGTAATATGTAGCCAGTATTGTACAATCAAGAACATTGTCCTTGCAATGTTGTAGATCGTGACTGTTATTTTGTGTTTAAAACAATAGTTCTTCACTGACAAGGTAATTTCCATTCCTGTGAGAGTAATTGTTTATACTGTAGTTTTGTGTGCATTCATGTTTATGGAGTTAAGTTGTAGTGCCCTAAATTTAACATAGGTTTGTTATTGTGCACCCAAATTAATTTCAACATCAGATCTCATACAAATTATATTCTAGTCTCATATTAGATTTTACAAACTGATTGTCTGACCTCTGAAATAACCGATAGAATGAAAAGCATATATTTGCTTGCTCTGGAATCAGCCAAGTGCCATGGACACATGTGAAACCTCATGTATCACATTTAAAAACAAGGCAGATTAACTCAGCAGTAACATTTGTGAGTGGCTTTCAGAATCATGGCTGTAACACCAGCTAAACTCACTTTTCTCATTTTTTCATTGTTTTTCAAGAAAATGCCAGGAAAGTATTGAAACAGCCATTGCTACTTCGTCATCTCCATCATTATCATCTTTATCATCAGTCCATACTATTCCATAATGATATGGTAGCCTTGTCTTAAATGCTGCATCATCCAGTCAGGTTTCTTTCTTTGTTGTTTTAAAATTGAAGTTTCACAAACCATCCTATCATTGCCTTTCAGTTTTGACCTTGCACTAATAATCCTTCAACTCAATACTGTATCACTCGTATTTTGGTATGAATAAATTAATAAATTTTCAGACATGGGTACCACAGAGATTTGTATTTGATTGGCTTTGTACTTTTTTCAGCCTCAAATTGGCAAGAAGTTGCCTGTTCCACTCCCTGTTGAACTCATGGCAGTGATTGCTGGAACATTAGTGTCCATGTACTGCAACCTCAGTGCCAATTATAAGATTACTGTTGTAGGGGAAGTACCAACAGGGTAAGTATCCTGCTTAGTTATGTTGAGACTAAGTATAGTGCCTGCTGTTCACAGATGAGGGAAGTTGAAATTTGATAAAGAGAAGGCTGACAGAGATGACATTTTGTTAGAATTACTGAAGCGAGGCTTGTAGTATTATTGAGAGAAGGGCCAACAACTACAGTTCTGGCAATCAACATTCCATTTTAGGTATGACTGATGTGAATATTTGAATTGGAACCCTATAAATTTAATTCTTTTTAAGTGTATGGAAAGCATCTTGAGTATGAAAAAGTTTCTCAAGATTTAGGTACCATACATTGAAGTTTTAAAAGTGGCTTTCGGAATGGAATAATTATGCACTTTAGTCCCTGAATGGCTTAGCACATTTTATTCATATTTGATATCTGTTATTTGTATTTACATCTTACATAATTACATTATTAATATAAACTTTACACCTAAAATATTAACTTTCTTTACATGAAGCTTGAATTGTGAAATGGCACTTTGCACTGAAATGATTACATGAATTTGAAGATTTCTGTCTTCTGGGTTGTTGCGCTGTGTAGTCTGGTCAATGTTAACCAACGTTTCAGAGGTCATACTGTCTCTGTCATCAGGGCAATTCATATGACCTTTGAAACGTTGGTTAACATCAACCAGACTACACGGCACAACAACCCAAAAGACAGAAATCTTCATACTCACCGCTGTGAAAACCTCAAATCTTACATTACATGAATTTGGTAACATTTTATTAACTTAGTGAGAGTGTTTTGTCCAGTAATAATGTAAAGGTCGTATGTGACAGAATGTATCCTACTGTATGGCACTTGTAAGTTCTCTCTTTACATAAAAAGAATGTTAGAAATTAAGGCCTCATACCACACAATCTGAACTAATGAGGCCTGGCCATGTTGTTTTGATGGATATAGAGTTTAATTTTTTTATAACAATTTTATGTAACCAAAAATCTGTCATTGTACTGTAGCCGAGAAGGGTAAAATGCAATTTATATTGTGAATGTTTTAATGTTACTGAGTGGTCTTTAATTTTATGGTCAAGGTATTATCTTAAACATGGCCATTGTGTCTTGAGATCAACTGCCCATTTGCCAAGGAAACATTTATTTTCTTACATTTTGTATATTCATTGTCCACAGGTTACAAGTTTTGTCACTCCTAATTTAGGTTATATTGTAGTTGTAAGATATACTGCTCTTCATTTGTGTCTTTGAAATTTAATATTTTTTCCAGACTTCCAGAACCAGTTGCACCACCATTTGCCTTGATACCAAATTTATTGGTAGATGGCTTAGTCATAGCAATTGTCGCCTTTTCTGTAAATATGTCTATGGCTTCCATATTTGCTCGAAAGCTGAATTACAGTGTTGATGCCAACCAAGAACTTCTTGCATCAGTAAGTTAATGTACTAACTTTTAGACAAAATTCATCTCAAGTATTTGTAGTATCAGGCCTGTTCCATTGGCACAGGTGGCATAGGCCTACATATAAATATACTTAAAAATCAAAATGGTTATAATAAAATAAAGAGTTTAGATTACATACAAAAATTTACTACCTATTATACTTTGCAATATTGGAATTTAACATTTTGTTTGCTTGAACATTAGAGCCCATTCTTAAAAAATTGAGTTATTTTCTTTTGCTCACTTTTACTAACTTTTCAATTATATTAAACATTTATAGGGAATGTAACTTTGCCTTCTCTCTGTGGCTTGCAGTTCCTTGAAATAACTGACCAGATTTTATGAAACATGGTGCAATGGTATAGCCTTATTGCATTCATGTAAGTTTTGGGGTGTACAAATTTGAAATATTGTTAGGTCTTCAATTATTTTACACTTTTTTTAAAAACCAATTTCTGTTGAAAACAGAAAATAAGAGTTTAGTGACTAAAATATTTTTAATTGATAAAGACAAGTGATAATCATTTGTGAAGTTTTTAATAGTGGAGTTTGTGAGAAGGATTTTCTTGTGTACTGAAGGCTCCAAAATTGTGTGAACTTGAAACTATGAGTCTAAGATTACAAAGAAGAGGAGGCCAGTAATTTTGAGGTTGGGTCTCACCATATGTGTTTTTTTCTTATTTCCTGATCAGTGTTATATAGTAACATATCTTGCAGGGGGCTTCCAATATTCTTGGGTCATTCTTTTCGTGCCTTCCATTTTCTGCATCATTATCAAGAAGTTTGATCCAGCAGACAGTGGGTGGAAAAACACAACTTGCCAGTGTGGTGTCCTGTCTTCTGTTGCTGCTTGTCTTACTGCTTATTGGACCATTCTTTGAGCCTCTTCCAAATGTAAGTTACGTGGACAGAAGCATACAGTTCTTACCTAAGTATCTGTCTTTATCTTCTGATCTGCACAATTCAGATTGACCATAAATAATTACATAATTTAACAAATACTCAGATTAGTGCGGTTATGATTTCAGTGCTCATAATCCTTTATTGTCATGGACTTAGGTCCATGAATGAATAGATTAAATATGGTTGGCTAAAGAGTGTTGGGAAATCCATTGATAATCATGACCTGGTAAAACATTATGAGCTTGGCATTGTATGTTGTAACATTGTCAAGAATATAATTTATCATTTAATCCTTTTACTACCAAGGCTACATAAGTGCTTACTAAAATTCCCAAGGAAGTAGAATTTTATATAGTATATTTAAAAATAATGCTATGAATATTTTGAATACAGATATGAAAAGAATAATGAAAATAAAGATTTATCTGATAGTTAGTCAACTGACTTGGTTTCAGATATCCACAGATTTGTACTGTCATATGTAAAATTTTGACTAATTATGTTTGAAGCCAGTGATGATGAATTGGCAGATTAAGTGCATCATCATATATGTGTAACTAAACAAGTGCATTTTTAATATTCAACATTGATAGTAGTTATAGTAGCGATTACCAAACTGCGTGGTTCAAATTCTTCAAGACCACAGAAATACTTACCCTTCTCTCATTACTGCATGGCTCCAAGTCACCAGTACGGTGCTGCTCGCGTTACTATGCTGAGTTATGAGGTGCCGTTACTCCTTGGCTTCACTGTGTTGCAACATTTTACAATTTTGCCGTGACCTAGAAGCTTGCAGTTTGGTGATGGCTACTAGTATTTTTGTTAAAGTTGTGACGTCTGTATGTTAATCTACATTAAAAGCTCGTTATCTTGGTTTGTAGAGATGTAAGTGGTTTGAATTATATTTGTGCTGGTGTTACAGTCTGTGTTGGCATCAATAGTGGTGGTGGCATTGAAAGGAATGTTTATGCAGCTGAAAGATTTGCCAATGGCCTGGAGACAGTCCCCATTTGATGGCATGATTTGGCTCACCACTTTCCTAGCTGTGGTCCTGCTTGATATTGATTATGGACTGGGACTGGGTGTAGCACTTTCACTGATCTGTGTGCTAATCATGGGGCAGAGACCTAAAGTTTGTCGGCTTGGTCAAGTGCCAAATACTCAGATCTACCTTGACATAAATCGCTACCAAGCTGTAAGTAATAGGGTTTACAAATGTTCTGATAGGGGTAAATAAAATGAATGGAGAACTATTAACATAAATTCATAGGTACTTGTGCCTATAACCTGTACTAATTTTTTATGCAACTGTTGTACTTGGAGCTTTAGTGATCACTCATTCCATGTCGCTAACACCATTATCATTCACATTTACATTGAATATATTTTATGTTTCATAAGTCATTAATGTTAGAGCCACGGTGGTCTAGCTGTTAGAACACTGGCTTTGTAATCCTGGGGTCTCGGGTTCGATTCCCGGCGGTGCCCGAATTTATAACTTGTGTTGGGCAAGGCCGTGGTCTAGGCAACACGGAGTTTTCCTCCGTGGCATCCCAACAATTACTCCATTCACACACACAGAAGAAGGCAATGGCAAACCACTTCTGGATCATCTGCCAAGAACGTATATGAACAGGTCCCAGTCCGAGAAAAGGATGGAAGGATCCTGTTCATATGGACCTGTCGTCAGACAGAACACTAAATAATAATAATAAAGTCATTAATAAATGCTTGATTATTGTCAGCAACATGTGATGTTCAAGTTAATGTGCTGTCTTTGAACACCTATTCTTGAAATTTCCTTTAACACTGTTGGCTCTATTGTATTTCAATGCTTTATTATAAAATACATATTTCTTCATGTTAAGTGAGTCCCTTGCCACCACAGCATGGTATGGTCTCAGGTTAAAAAGTTACTGAATTATCTTGTATAGAAATGGTTAAATTCCATGAAGTCACAGTTCATTAGTAAAGATTGTCTAGTATAATTTATAAATATTCAGTATCAATCATGTTTGAGTTACATTTCCTTGTCTAGTCATTAATATAATCCATCATGATCCTTGAGTTTCAATATCATGTGCTCATTATCTGTAACATAACCAAAACCATTACAAGTGTTCGTGAGATTTCTTGTTTTCAAGATGGCTATCTTGTGGGTTGGTCTGTCATAGCTGGCCAAAGTTCTGCCTTGTCCAACTGGTTTCTGTATGTCAAACCAATTTCTTGTGTGTGATTTACTCATTGTTCTGATGGAGTCAACAAACACCACTGAAACATAGGTAATGTTCTGTCAGGCTACACAAACCAACAACCCAGAAGACAGCCATCTACAGTACAAGAGTTTAGTTGTGGGGTATATGAAGTAATTTCTGCCTGAAGCATGCGTATGGAAAGACGCAGTCATGCTTATTAAGCTGTAATAATAGCCTTGCCAGGAGGTACTAATGAAACCCATTAAAAGTGCGTTGGAAGAGTCGGTATCCCAACCAAGATTTGAATCAGCCACCCCTGTTATGCTGCAGGAGAACTGACCATTCCACTGTGATTTTCAAAATACACTTTCATGTCTAGACCATGGAAAATAATATATTTTTCAAATGCAAAATATAGTTTTAACTCTAGATGACTTTACATTTTTGTGGTTCAGTATATTACACACTTAAATTCCCAGAGTTAGTATTCAGGTATTAAAATGAAAACATTGTGATTCTTAATGAATATATTCTTTACAGGCCTCAGAAATCCCAGGAATTCGCATAATTCAAGTGGCTGGAGGTTTGCATTTTGCAAACAAAGACCATGTTCGGAGGAAAGTGAATAGAGTGATTGGAGATATGTCAGAGAAAACAACTGTGGTAAGTTGGAAACACTGATAAGTGAAATGTTTTATCTTCCCATCCACAGCTTTGTTCATCATCCTGTCTAGGATGTAGAAGAATAGCTTTTCTCGGTGTGTTTGCAGCAAAAAGTTGCAGAAATGCATAATTTCTGGTTTCTGTTCTGAGCCATATGAATGCAATCCTTCAACCCCATTTCCTTAAGATCCATTTAACAACAATGCATGTATTAACTTTGTAATGTTTGTCTGTTCTCATGTAAGAACTAGAGAATCACTGAATTAATTTTCATGAAAATTAAGTTTGGAGAGCTTTGCTAAAATTTATCTTCGCATTCCAGTTTTGTTTAGAATTCAACAACAGTAATGGGCACTTTATAGGAAGGCTTACATGCATTTCCCCACACATCTCAAGCATAACTTGCTGAGTATTTATCGGAGCAAAGAAATTTTTTGATTAAAAGCTGCAAAAAAAATGTTTAACCCACAAGATAGTTAAAGTTAACCCTCAGGAATTAAAAATCTAGGGGCAAAATCAGAATGTGCCAGAACTGTTACTCTGTGTGTATATTTCCTATCCTGTTGTGTGTTGTTTTATCAGCACATGATGTGGATCTTGGTAAGAAATGAATCCCTGAGGTCTGCACTACCCACTTTACTTTGGGACGCTTCAGTAACCTGATCTCAGTTTTGCTGTAAACGTTTCTGATTTATGTGACTATGGAAACTATATTGTTGTTAAAACTGATAATTCCTTTTATTACTTAATTTTACTGCAGTGATATATTGCCAAAGTAAGCAACTGCCTCTTCTTTCTCTAGACTCCTTGCCCAGGTCCTTTATAGTCAGCAATCAAGAGAGTGAGAACTTACAATCAGATTTATGTATGTGAATGGGTTAACTCTGATAACTTTTATAAATTATTGTACCCAGTAACTCAAAATTTAATATTGCAGGACTCCATAGTGAAGAAATCTAAAGCATATGAGAAAGAAGAAATTACAAGGAAGACAAATGCAGATACTGCAGCTCTGATGCTGGAAAATAATCAGGTGTGTCTGTCGTATTCTTCTTATTTTAAGTCTTGAAAAGAAGCTTGTACAAGCATCACGAAAATATATCACCAAACAGAAAAGAATTGCTTAGCTTAATCTGTATATTATAAAGATTTTTTGAGCTGATGTTAGTTACAATCAAACATTCATGTGATATTTGCAACAATGTGGTGGTGTTATTTGAAAATGTATTTTATGTGAATGTTGTCATATTCTTGGTGAATTTTGAGTACTTCATACTTTAAAGAATGATTGTTAATCCATACATTAAAGGAACAAAATCTTCCTACATTCTGACACATTTCTGACAGTTTCTAAGCTTTCAGAACATTATTGCAAAATGCAATGGAGACTGAAAAGTTCCTGATTGTTTAATTTCATTGCACATTATTGCAAAATGCAATGGAGACTGGAAAGCTCCTGATTGTTTAATTTCGTTGGATTTTATGTTATTTTATTACTTTCTACATTGGTTTTATTTTTTGCTCTGCAGATATTCTGTGTAATACTGGATATGATGTCTGTGTGTTTTGTTGATCCATCTGCTGTCAAAACACTTGTTGCAATGTATAAAGACTTCAAGAGCAGAGGACTCATCTTCTGCCTAGCAGATTGTTCAGGTAAGACTGCTTTGGCTCCATTGTTTTTTTTTATTTCTTGGTTTATTTAACAATACAGAATGCCCCAAAAAGATGTATATACAGCAGAAACTTTGGTGGCCGCTTGTCAGTCACTTTCTCTACGCTGTCTACTGTGCCACTGGTGGTCATTTTCAGCACCTACACTAGATTGAGTAATTCACTTAAGTGCCAATGCTGACATATGTAATTGTTTAATTTATTAAAATGTATTTATTTCATTAATTGAATGTGTTTATACATCATTTTGGGATAGTATGTATATTTTTTCAGTAGATTATATAGTGTTGAATAATAGGATGATTATGAATGATGAGTTGGTAATAATATGAAAATTGTGATGATTTCTTTAAAGGCACTACAGTACGTTAGCACTGCCCTCGATGCATTGAGAAAAACTTCAAAAAGCAATAGTCAGGATATTCAGCCTTCCATCTCCTTTGATATATAGGGCCACTGAAAAGAAATCCCTAGTTTTAATGATTAATATTTCATTTAATTTGAGATGTGTGTATAGTCATCATGTCTTGCCATACCTCTCCTAATTTATTCCTCGCCATTCAAAGACTTTCCTCTTCACCACCGTATCCAGAATAGCTGTTGCCCTCCCTACACTTTGACCTCTCTAGTGGGTACTAATATTGAGACCATAAGATACCACTGTAATTACATCGTTGGTAACTTTTTTATTTCAGCGACTGTTCATGAAAGAATGCTGCATTGTGACTTCTTTGAGGACTTCCCTGATTCACAGTTGTTTCCTTCAGTTCATGATGCAGTACTATTTGCACAGCAGTCACCAAAATCCTGAGAGTAATGTACTTCTTCATTGTTACTTAGTGAACTGAAAATTTGGAAAGTGAATTATTTCCAAATCCTTATGTAGAGCTGTGAAAACAGTGGGTACTTAAAAATGTGTACCATTATATGCCATATCACATTTGTGATACTATTTTTAATATCTGAAAAGAATTTAGAAATTAAAGTTCTGCCTACTTCGTAAACATTTTATTTGCATTAGAACTAAACTCTTCTTGGGAATTTTTCTATAATGGCATGAATACTTATGGTTGGATATTGTGTGCTTTGTCACAGTTTTATTCCATGCTAGACAGATTTATTCGTCACAAGATTAAAAGTAGTTTTAAAAGGAACAAAGAGTGCCTTTGCATGTTATTTTTTGTTATTGTAATGTATGGCCCTTTACTAAGAATGTGAAATGCAGCATGCTTTCAGAATCTTCTCTTGAATATAATACAAGCTATAGTTTACCCGGTGATTAGAAATTAATAGAAAAATTGCAAAAGTAAATTAATTACTTTAAAATTATTCTTGCTGTGAAGTATTCTTATACTGTTTTTTTCATTTTTAACATGTTAATGTACATATTATCATTGTTATTTTGTTTATGTTTTGATAGCCCTGAAGATTTATAATGATTATATTGTATTCTTTCCAGTCTTTTTGTTAAGGTAAATTGAAACTGTGATATGAATGTTCTGAATCACCTTTGAATAGTCTGCAATGTGTCAGTACTGCAGACCTTGTCTTGGATGGAAGGCAGTTTATTTATTTTGAGTGTTATACTTTATGATCTCTGCTGCAATTTAAAAGTTTTTTCTTAAATACTTGTAATGTAAAGGGAATTATGTTTCTGAAGTAATGAATTGCTTATAATGTAGACAGACACTTTCTTTTCTGCAATATTGTATTTAAAAATGCTGGTATTATTTGTATTTGAAATGATACAGATGGATTAGATATTATGACAAGAACTTCAAAAGGTTTTTACATACTTTATTTATCTGTTGAACATGACACAATAACTGTAAATAGAATGTAACCACTTACAAGTATGATTGAACGTACTTAACGGGAGGTCTGTTTTATGTTTTGGCAAGGACTGAGTCCTTGTTTCCTTCAGAATTTTAGTACTCCTGAATAATTAAAACCTTTTGAAGTTGTGTACAGAGTTTTATGTATGTATTAATATGCTTGTGAAGTAAATTAGTACCTGGGTAGACATGAAGCAGAATGGCAGAAACAATAGTAACGTGAGCATTTCAGTCATGTATGGAATACTTCACTGAGACTTCAGAAAACTGATACTTCATACTGACTCATACAAACAGCTATGTAGAAAATTCTTACCACTTTCTACGCAGAGGTATGTAAAGCAAACAGGGCTTTATTCATTTGATGGATCATATTACAGGTTGCATTTTTAATTTTCCTGATACATTTTTTCATTCATAAATCCTTGTATTCTGGTAGGTAGTAGTATGCAACAGTGATATTTTCTCATGTTGTCTGTTCCTAGTTGGCTATTTCATCCTCGTTGTCGATTCACTGATAAGCCTGTGGTGGCGTTTGTTGAAGTCTTGTAAGACATCATTAGTATTTTTCAATCTTGATAACTTTTCAGTTATATTTGTAAATGCTTAACACTGCACTGCACCATTCTCTGATTGATTGCAGCCCTATACTCTGGTGATCACATTTTTCTGAATAACACACTGGACTAATTTCAGGATAGGGCAACAGAGAATTAACCACAATGTAAGATTTGAGGTTTTCACAGCGGTGAGTATGAATATTTCTGTCTTCTGGGTTGTTGAGCTGTGTAGTCTGGTCGATGTTAACCAACGTTTCAGAGGTCATACTGCCTCCATCATCAGGGCGATGAATATGAAGATTTCTGTCTTCTGGGTTGTTGCGCTGTGTAGTCTGGTCGATGTTAACCAACGTTTCAGAGGTCATACTGCCTCCGTCATCAGGGCGATGAATATTAAGTTAAGTTGGTGGCTAGGATGGCCAAGCTGAGATATGCAGATTACTGGTATGCATAACAAATATAGGAAATGTATATGTGAAATTTATTTTGGTTTATACACAAAACTGGTTCCCAATATTAGTAAAACATATGTGATATGGGTCATGCGAGTAGTGGTGGCACCTAAATGCACGATATGTAAGACGAGAGAGGGGAGTTCAGTAGTAGTGGGGGTCACACAGCCCAGCTGTGGTGATGCACCAATCTGAACACAGCTATAGCTACAAACAAACTGAAACTGACACCCCTCTAGCGCATGCTTCTGATGTGTCCATCTCATATGACCAAAATCAGTCCTTTGCACAAGTGCCGGCACTTCTTGCGCGACCTATACAAATTTTGGCCTTGTTTTTAGACTCATTATGTTTCTGATTGTCTTCTCTTAAATTAACTTTATTGAAATTCAAACATCTTATGACCTGTTATCCTTGTGTTTCAGTTTACAGATATCCAATTTATATCACTGTCAAAGTGCTGAAATATTTAGCATCCACACATGAACTAATTTTGTGAATGTTTAAAAATTGTCACCTAATCCAGCTATGAAGGATTATTTGAAGGTTTTCTGATGTCAGTCTAGCTATGAAAATCAAATATTTATCCTATGTTCTCATCAGATGAATGTTTTAAGTAACTTTCGAAGCAGCCACTGTCTTTGTGATATGGAAAATTATTGAACCAGTATTAAAGTTAACATGTAAGATGTCAGTTAAGTAGGCCCTTTTCTAACAAGCAATGGAACTTCGGAAACTTGTAACTCTAAACTCCCCAGAAGTTTGATATGCATCTCTTCACAAGATCATCCCCCCCCCCTTCCCATTATTTATTGGCTCGTGCCATTACAGCCACCAGTCACCTTCCCATTTTATGCTTATTAAAAATTCAGTTGCCAGAATCTGAACAAGGGTTTGTACTGTTATAGCAGTTTCCTTTCTTCATTCAGTGTAACTCCATATACCCACTGTGGTTTTACTGCAGAATCAGAAAAATGCATGAGTTTAGTTAAAATCACTATTTGGTCTTATTAGATCATGTTGTTTATGTCACATGATTATTGTTTCTGCTATTTCTCAATGAGATTATATATATACAATGTGTCTAGATTTTTATATATTGATGGTGCTAGATATACTTTAAGCAGGAATTTGCAGTATTAGTCTCCTTACATAAGTTTTTATGTAAAGTATTTAGTTTCTGTATTACTGGGTTGATACAGACCAGCGGTCCTCGCTCACAGTGGCGAAAGTTATGGCCATACAATGTGGCTTTTCACTTTTACTATACTACTTAAACCAGATACTTTAAAATCATACTGTAAAGTTCATTTGATAAAATTCTTCAGTATTAACTCTTTGTTGTTGATGAAAAGAAATACATCAGTTAATTGCGTGTTTGACTATTTACCCAGTTGTTAGAACGTGAATTCTTCTGCAGTTTCCATGACTTTTATATTAAACTTTATTATTACAACTTTAGTCAGTTTTGGCTGCAGAATTTCTAAAATAAGTGGCTCTGTTTTGTGATTCATAGCAGGGATTTAAAAAACAGCATTGATATATGTTTACACTGAAAGTATGTGATTGGAAAAATAAATTGGCTGATTTCACAAAGGTGTGAGGCCAGTTACCATAACAGTCAGTGCCTAACGAGGTCAGAACCAGAATCAGACTTCTACAGACTGTAAGCTAAGCCCATATAAAAATTAAACATGTAGAAAGAATTATTAATGTACATTAAAGATATTTAGTTAAATAATTTTATGTTAAGAGTTTTTCAAGATGGAGAACAAATTAAGAAAAGGAAAAACTTGTACCAGGTGTATTTTCCTTCTGTTGAAAAGTGTTTGTTATATGTCATATTTCAGGGTGGTTTAACTGGTGGAAAGGGTTGAATTTCCACATGGAGTGAGGGTAACTAACCCTTCCAGCCTGTTTTATTAGGCTCCTGTGCCAAGAAAGCTATGAAATTAATTTTGGATAATTTATGGATATGTCTCCTAATAGAAACACTGTTTGCCATGTAGGTGGTGCTTTCTAAGAAAGCATTAAAATGGAAGGGATTTAAGTAACATAGATATTCTGAGTGTACTTCTCACTGTAAGGTGGTGTGAGTATCCATTCCTAGAATTTAAACAAAACAAGGATTGTGGATATGAAGTCAAAGGAAGTAACCAGCTAAACTATGGAGTTATTATGCCAATTTTGTCCAGTTACTGGTGTCCTCTTTTTTACACTACACAGGTTGAGTTCAATGTAGGTGTACATAATTTTTGTCCAGTTACTGGTGTCCTCTTTTACACTACACAGGTTGAGTTCAACGTAGGTGTACATAAAACTTTTTGCAGTAAAGATTCAAAACAATTTTGATTTTATCCTAATTTATTTTCATCATTAATATCATTCAGGGATTTCTGGGGTTCTCAAATAAATTATAATAATTTGAAAATAACTCTCAGTATTTTGTGTCCCCTCAAATAGCAGGGCCATAGCCTGTATCTTTATACATAAATGCAGCACTACATGCAGCTGAGAATCAATCATACAGTTTGAAGTGTGGAACATTGCAATGATTTTATTTATATCAGGAATGGACGGAGATTTAAGGCTAGTAGAGTATTTATAATAATTGTTAAAATTTTTGTGTGGTGAATTTATATTGGTGAAGCTTGGGAACTATTGATAGTTCCCTAAGTATTTAGTTTAACAAGTTTTAGGAAGTAATGCATAATTTTTCTTTGTGAAAGAGTTGTTCCTAAAGTTCCAGGAGAAATACACATCATTGGCATAACTAGGTTTTATCATCATGTTTAAATAAACATTTGACACAGATGATCATAGAGAGATAGCCATAGTGTTTGTTACTAAAGCATGGGTAACACGATATTTGTTTGATGGTATGTTCAAGTATGAATCATATTAATTACTATCAGAAAGAATTTGTTTTGTGCCCACATATTACATGAAAAAGAGTATGACTCTTAAGAAGTACTATTACTACTAATTAAAGTTTAATGTAAATATGTAAGGTACTTAACTGTATTGAGATGCTGAAATAATGGCCTTAGATTGTGACTTTCAGTGAGAAACAGTTCTATTGTTGACACATAAAAAGCGCTTTCATTTGTTTAGTTTTTCCTTATTGGCAGACTGACATATAACCCTCCACCAATAAATCAAATACAGCTCCCAGTAATCATAGACTTATTTTAAAGAATATGAATGTCTCTGTCTTTGTCCATACATTTGTAAACATTTTCATCTCAACACTTCTGAACTGTTTGATCTACAGCTTTCAGATGTATCTCTTGAGGCACAACTCTTTGGCCATAATGGTGAACATGTTTAAGAGACAAAATGGCTAGATGTTCACCATTCAGCTTGTAACATTAAATTGTTACACTTGTATTTTACTTAACCTTTAAAGGCGTGGCACTGGTATCCCTAGTTGGGCCATCGTAGACAATAAGATATGGTGTGTATTGCATCACGTAGCATGGCTTTGTGATTGTTGTATTGGATTCCAATCCATGAAAAAATGTCAGTGTGCTCTAAAATGATGACTGTACAACCATCATACATTTTCCTGTCAAGAGGGCCCCTTTCCTTTCTTTTATAAATATTTTTTAACATTTCTAAGAAGTAATACCTTTTTATTTTTGGCTGTACTGTGTAAATTCCAAATAAACTTTGAGCATGAGGCTGTAAAGTGTTTCAATAAATTGTTATGAAAGGACACAATTGATTTACTGATTTCATGCTGATAAATAATCTTGAAAAATGTTGATATATTTTTTATTTATTTGTAGTTTTATTATAACATTATTTTTACAGTGCATTTCCAAAGACACATTTGTGTACTTCATTTAGGGATTTTATGTGATTTTATACTTTTGTTCGTCATTTTCTTGTTCAATTTTGGGTTTTATTGAAGCATCGAGTTCTAGAATGTTTCATGTCATTTATTGGTCTGTTTTTATGTGCCAGCTCTTATTTGGTAATCAAATCTTTACTGCCATCTGTATCACATCCTGCAAGGAACTAGAAACCTGTCAATGCAGGGTATCAAGTAAAGAAATTAAATTTTCAATGCACCTATTCTCTGTAGCAGTGGTATTCAACCTTTTTCGTTTGCGTACCCCCAGATATAATTTCTCTTCAACTTTGTACCCCCAAGGTTGTTGGTGTATAATTCAAGTTATGCATAGTATATAATCTACATCTAAAATAAATCAAATAAATTACATTACTGATTATTCAGTGTTCATCATAAATTTTTTTTAAATTTCACGTGCCCCCTAAGATGTCTTCGCGTACCCCAGGTTGAATACCACTGGTCTAAAGGGATTATTCAAAACCTGTTTGTTCTTATTATGCTGATAATGCAAGGTCCTGGTGTACTACCATGGGTGACCTCTGCAGTAGGAAAGTTGGTTATTGTGACACTGTCATAATAGAAGGAATGCCCCAAAATTTTGGTTCTAGGGACCTGAAAAGAAACAAAGGGATATTGTAAGAAAAGATAATATCAATATCACAGCTGGGAAGACAGGAAAGGCAAGGCAGGTACAGCTGTAGTCAAGGATAACTTCTGCTGAAAATAATTCTTCAAAGCCCCAGGTAGTGCAAACTGCAACATAAATGAGCTATGTTGATACAATTGACAGGTAGGGCAAGAGTTCAGGCATAAGTCACATAACTTCAAGTGAACAAAAAGCTTTTATTTAGTCGACATAAATTATTTTATAATACGGAAACTGTATGAAGTGAAATCCCCCCCACTTGTAATTTAGAAAACAAACTGTTTTTTCCAATTTATTTGCAGAACTTTCTTATGAAAATGAAAAATTAGTAATGTGCTAATAACTATAATCCTGTGGCCACACATTAACAACTTTTATTTTGAAGAGTTATTTTAACGGCAAAAGTTGGTGCAACTGTTCTCTCTGTGTACTGTACATGGTATGCAATGAGATTGTCATTTGTTACCACATTATATTTTGGGGGCGGAGACGGGTAACAGTCGCCATCTGTTGTGATTTCATGCCAATACGGTACGATTGTGTCGGAGTGGCATCGATAATTGTCAGTTCGAGTGTTTGTCGACTGTAACCTTGAGATTTGCGGGTTGAAGGAGGAAGGAGGAAAGATAGCGTCCTTTAACGTTTCGGACTTCCTGCATTTCTTGCAAGTCTCATGATTACAGTCGCGAGCAGTGTCATTCGTTGTGTTTTTTTTCCGGCAGAGCTAAAATTAGTGCTATACTTCCAAAATGTAGTTGATGTTTTGTGTTGCTTTGTGATTGTGCGCTCGGACTTTGTTATCAAATGCGGCCTCTGTGAACGGTGTAGAAAAAACAACTTTACCGAACATCTTTTGAAGTGTGTATTGTCTAGCCGTACGTTTGCCATTGAATTTTGTGCAATGCGTTCTACCTTAGCACCAGGAGCTGTATATTCTGCACAAGACGCTCGGTAAGTCCGTTCAACTAAAATGTCACATGCTTTAATTTGTTTGAAACGATTTGCTTGTTGAGATTGAGAATTTGAGTGCTGAAAGGGTTTGGGTGTCAAACATTGGACAGCACTGCAATAACAAGGCCTGTGTGGACTTAACAAAACGATAAATGATCTGTATTCAGTCGCCGTGTAGGGTCGAAATTTCGATTAATATAGCCGGCAAGGTCCGAGGCGATACGATAAAGTGCCCGAAAACCTCCATCTCCCACATCTCCATCTACTATTTTCTCTTCTGATTGTCGCCTTTCTCATTTCAAGTTAAATGCCGGTATAGCAAAGTAATAATGTCAACACACAAAATAGTCTTCCAAGTGTGGATTTCAAACTAATATTTTTATGCATGCCAACCGAAAGCGATTAGCAGGAGAGAATTTTTACCTACGTAGAACACTTGAAACTTGTATTGAATGTCCTTATGTTTTAGTTTCTTATTGCACGTAATTAGTTACTTAATCATGTCAGACAGTCACGGTTTTTAATAGTACATTTCAGTGTAATCAAATGCAATTTACAAGATAATAATTGCCAAATAATCTAGTGCAGGAGTTCTTATCTTTTTTCGCTGGCGTACCAGTAATTGTAATTTAACACATTAAATGTAGCACTAACCAAATGCGTTCAGGGAAAACTTATTTATGTTAATATTATCTTTTCATTTTCTTACGTAGTTCGCGTACCATGTTAAGAAACGCTGATCTAGTGGGAATAAAAGTGAGAAAATATTCTTTATACTAGAATAGAAATTGGATAAGCGGTGCATTTCCTTAATCTAACCGAACCTAAAAATTTATTGTGAATGGTGAATTGTTTTCATCTGGGGGCAGGGAAACCAAAGAAATTTCATTCAAGCTTTATCTTCGTGCGTCGTCTTAGTCATAACCCACGTCATTAACAACCCAACTCTAATCTGACTCGTGCTACATGCTCAACCCATCAGTATTTTGGACCTGGTACCATCTACAGCCAAACGCTTTTATCACGAGAAATAAATTACTACAACTAGACTGAGTGTGAAAGGAGCATTTTTAGCCTAAAATTTGACATAAGAGATACACATCTACAACACGTCAACTCCCTTCAAAAACAAACTGCAGCTCAGATCGGAGTACTCCTGTTCGCTTTGTTTCGTCTGTGCAGGAATTTCTGGCAGCAACCACATGACTTTTCTTGTCCATATTCCATACTCAGCAGAAGATAGAACCGCGTGTGGCTTTGTTTTTCAAAACTGAAGTTAGTACTGAAAGGGAAGGAACATGACGTTTTACAAATATAAAAAAATATCACAGGTTACACTTCCGAAATTCAAAACACAGGATTGCCATAAGTACTTCCAACAATGGCAGAGTCGCTTGACAGGATAAATCAGGTTACAAGAGATCTATTCTGAAGAGGACAGCATGAATTGGCGGCCAAATGTAATAATGACGATATCAGTTCGGATGTTTATCATATACTGTTGATTGTACATCTGGCTATAATGTAATCTGGTTTTTCATCACATATTACGCAGCGACCAAGCGGCACAAGGCCCGCGCCTCAGACCGCGCGGCCACTGTATAAGGCTGTTGTTTTTTATGGGGTGTCATCTAGGAAGTTAGCATTTTCCTCACTTATTAATTGCAGGTAAATTATGACCCTTGCACCTTGCAGTCTGTGAAGTGTAAATGTCTGTTGGTGAATCAGAGTAGTTCAGACTGCAACAGCTCATCCGACATTAGTTTAGCTTTGTTAATTAATTCCATGTATTTAATTATATCTATCTATAAGGACATGTGTTTTTATATTAGTTTATTAACAGTTTTGTATTTCACAGATCTCAAAATATTTATTGTATTAACAATACTTAAGATTTTAGCACTACTTGTTTGGAACGGAAGTGGAAGTAGCCTTTACGCTACGTGAGCAGAAAAATGTATTTGGGATTTACTTAATCTTCGATCTCGATTCTAAATTACCCTGAGGCCAAAAGGAATTAATTTTAAACCAGTCTTGGTTGGAGTCTCGATAGCGAAGGTGCCAAAGGCACGCAGGTGATTGATTGACTGAGACATCTTATAAACTTAGCATTTTCTTTTACCTCTGTAACTTCATTATTACTGGGTGTTAATAAATAGTGGTGACTTCCTCAAAATTTCAATCCGAGTTATCATTGGCTGATGCGAACCAGGCTGAGATAAGAGTCCACCCACCCAGGACCCAGTATCATACACCCTGAGATATCCACATCGCCCTCGGTAAGAGAGGCACCCGAACACCCACCCTGAGACGACAACTCCACGGGGTTACGATCAGCGGACGGTTACAAGACGTGGAGATGTCGATCGCGGTATTTTGGTTTCAACCCTGAAGAATCACGCGACACATTGCTCCGAAATGTTGGTAACCATGTAGGAATACATTGAGATGTAATACAGATGACACAATCTTCTTCTGTA